CATTTTTAACTTCAGATATCAAGGAAGTTTTGAAAAGGAGACTTGGTAATTGAATTACATTATAATTAAAATAGTGTGTGCAGAAGATTGGGAGTAAGTCTTGGTGAAAAATGACAAAAATTAATAAGTTTCCAAAAATAACATAAAAATGAGACCAATGCACTCTATATTCCCTCCATTCATATATTCTTTTATACCACTTCCTTCAAAATAAGAATGGGGGAAAAGAATGGGATCAGTGAGACAGAAAAAAAAAAAGGTGTGAGTTTCAAAATTGTATTTACATTTCAAGGGAAAACTATAATTCTAGCTAACAGACCCACACTGCAAAGAAAGTAGGTCAGTAGGAGCACTTTATACTATGATAAACGATATAAATTTATAGCCTTTCAGATGTACACATTGCTCCTCTAATGATCATTCTCTTCTTCCATCATTTTCCTATATCCCTGGTGGGAACCCTCCTTCCCTTACTACTACGTCTACACATGCCACCTTTCCTCTTTATTTATTTATGTATTTTATCTTTTTTTTTTTTTTTTTTCTGAGACAAAATCTCATTATCTCTGGGTTAAACTCACAGCAATACTGCTTCAGAGTCAATGCGGAGATTATAGGCCTGTGCTACCACCCTAGGCTATTTCCCTTTCTTAAAACCACTTTCTAATCCTTTTCATTCTTTTTGCATATCAGTGCCAGTTTACAACCTTGAATTCTAACATTTTACAGAATATCTTTATAGACATCCAAAGTTAGGGGGCAGAAGTTGAACTAGTTATAGCACTAACATCAAAGAAACTCCTGAAGTTTAGAAAAGGGCTATCTGGGATATTTTCAACTGCACTCTCCTTGAGAGATAAACAATGCTACCTTCAAACTGAATCTCACAACAATCCTAAATTCTTTGAAACTAAAAATAGTTCTCTTGTCTCATCTGCTAGCAGATGGTCAGACTATTTTTAATTCAGGATTCTCCAGAGCAGCAGTGGATCAGACTAAGCTAGGGCAGCCTAGACACCCTTACTTTGCACAGCTCAAAGTTCACAGCAGAAAACTCTAAGAAGACAGGTACCAAGAGAAGCCAACCAGGAGTTACTACTGAGCCTGAGGGCTTCACATCAGCTTTATTAATTAATTAATTAATTAATTATTTGGTACAGCTCAGACTTGTAGTGATCCTCCTGTCTCAGCCTCCCCAGCACTGGGACTACAGGTATGCACTACCACACCCAGTTTTGGTGGCCAGCATGGCACGCACGCAGTACCAGGGATGGAACCCAGATCTTTGTGCTTGCCAGCAGGCGGTTAAACTGCCAAGCTATCTCCCCAGCCCTTCAAAACAACTTTAACAATGAAATGGGTGTCATTTTCTAAAGCCATTCAACATAAAATCGGACAAGTAGGAAAATTTGAAGTAAGCCTTAAATAATTCTGTATACCTTTTAAATATGTATTTTTATTTCATGAAAATAAAAATTACTTTATGTAATATCTTTAAAAATGGGTTTTGTTTTAATAAAAAACTCCAGATATTTTCTAAAAGTTATACTTCTAGGCCAAAAAATGTCCTTATGAAAATATGCTATATTCAACAACGGAACTTAAAAAAAATTGGGGTATAACTATGAATGTCCATTTTGTATCTGTGTATTCAAAGTGGTTGGGGTAGATATATAGTTGCATTCTCTTAATGAATGGAATGATTTGTTCTAATGGTGTTTGTAAGTAGGATCACAAGTCCGCATCTTGTACAGCAATTAACCACTGAGAAGAATGTATGCAGTGTATTATTTGTTGAAACTGTACTTTCGATTTGATTTGAAACTGTCTCATTGCTATATGTTTATCAATAAAACTTTGAAAAGAAAAAAAAAGAAAATATGCTAAGCTATAATTTCACAAATATTTACAGAAAACTCATTTTTAATTGGTTATTTTCTTTTTCTTTTTTTTTTTAAAGGTAGTTGAGTTGATTTCGAATACCAGTTATCATGAGAATAAGGTGATTTTTCAAACACCAAAAAAATGGCTGAAAGTCTCATATACCACATAATTTTGTCTTCTGTCCATTTCCCTTCATCTCCATGTTAGTATTAAATAATTGTATGAGGGGAGAGAAAAAACAGGCAGGCATATTTAGAAGGGTTATAACAAAACCAGGCATGGCAGCACATACCTGTAACACCTGGTACTGAGTAGGCAGAGCCAAGAAGATTACAAATTTAAAGCTATTCTGAGTAATTTTGACCTGTGTCAAAACAGAAATTAAAAACAAAAAAAGCTGGGGGTGTGACTGAGTGGTTGAATGCTTGCCTCACATATAAAAGGCCCTAGGTTTGGTTCCCGATACCACCAAATTAAAAAAAATTAAAAAATAAAGAGGAAAGGTTATTAACAGTGGCCACTAAATGACCTCTGTACCTCCACCATCCAATCTCAATACACTCTTGACCTATAGGCCAACAATGACTAAACAACCAATCCATTCCTGTTTGTTTTCCCATCAGACAGTATACACAGTATCAAGAAACTAACTATAGGGGGCCCTGGCACAAGTCTAACAGTACAGAGGAAAGAGCTATGAGTTTCCAGGGACAACACATATTTGAGGATTTCTACTTATTGCAAGATTTTAAACTTTCTGCAAAAATGAAATGGGTTATTCCATTGATTTATGTTTGAGTGATAATGTAGATAGATGACTGGAAAGGAATTCACTATCATGAGATTACACACTGAGAATTTATAGTAAGGTAAATGGAACTTTTATGAAATACAGAGAAAATACCTTATACATTTTAAGTATAGAAAATATCCTGCTGCCTAGCCCCTGCATGAGTAGGCACAGTCCACAAAATAAGCTTCTGCTAACTGTATGGAAAGGACAAAAAAAGTACACTTGAACACCTAGGTAGAGCTGGCACACACAGCACCATGTAAGTTCTACATCTAGAAATGACAGGGACCCATTTAAAGAGCTACAGGCCCACCAAAGATGTCAATCAAAAAAGCTAAATGCACAAGTTAACAGAAAAGTATATTCACATTCATAGCACATTAGAGGGGATGCAGCCATATAATCACTAAGTTTAAGACTCTAGTTTTACTGAAAAGGAATTTAAGGACCAGGAACTTGCCTAACACTGCTATGGAACAGAACTGGGATCCCAAACTTTCATTCTCATGAGCTGTGTCAATTAAAACATGTTTATGTATTTTGGAGAGGAGAAAATATGTATGTATAAATACAAATTGTATTTTATTTCTTTAGCTATTTAAAAATAACATTAAACATGGAAAATCTCAGTTCTCTAAATTAAAACTTTAATTTGAATCTTTTATGTTCCTTATCCTGACAAGTACTCATAGATCAACATATAACAATTCTAAAAATCCTAGTATCACTCCCTCCTTCATATTACTCCAAAAATTATTCCATTCAGGACCCAGGTATAAATTAAATTTCTCATACTACAGAACTATCTTCTCACATATCTGGAACAGTCTTGTTAGGGACACCAGTAATAAAATGGGAACTTCAACTACACTACAAATTCCAATTTTTTGTTTTGTTTTTTGAGTCAGGGTCTTGTTATGCAGTTCAGGCTGGCCTTAAGCTCACTTTGTAGCCCTGGCTGGTCTTGAACTCATAATAATCCTACTGCCTCAGCCTCCCAAGTGCAGGATCACAGGTGTGTGTCATCATGCCAACCAATTCCAATAGTTTCAAGCTATGTTCTTCATATCAACAATTTTAAGAATCAAAAAAACCATATCACTTATTGTAACAAGTTAAATAGTAATAATCTATTTAATAATCAGAAACAAAAAATAAAGTTGCTTTTTATCTGCATTAAACCCTTACTTAAGCATACATTTAAGTTATGAGTTTTCTTTGCACCTTAAAAGAACTTTTCCCCCAAAGCTCATTCAACAAGTTTCAGTTCTTTTCCATTTGACTTAACTCCATTTCTAGTATAAAATATAAGTAAACATTACGAATATAGTGTTAAATGTTGTTTGCTCCTTCGATTAATGCAAAACATCTGTCAGTGTTCCCCTTTTAACAATACCTTTAACAATGCCTACTTTGGCTAAAGGTATTGTTAGGATTTTTCCTGCTTCCGGGCTTCATTACACTAGATCTCTTCCCTCTGAACTATAAATCACAATCGAAGCCTAGGAGCAGCTGTCACTGTCCAGACATGTGGTTAGTGGGTGTCACTGTCTTTTTCATTTTCTTCATTTCAATCCCTCCTTTTCCACATTACCTAAAACCAATTTATCTGAAGGTTTATATCCTTCCTTGTTTTCACACCGCCACCCCTTTTCTTAACCTCTCTCTGCTTGTTCTTCCAGGTCAATCCAGCTACACAGTACTGTACTGTTCTGTGGCAGAGGCGGAAGGATGTCAGAACGGACTGGGACTGCACCTCCTACAAACCAACCCCTTCTTGAGACTGTCAACAAGGGAACTTCAGCTTCTCTTCCCAAAGTATCACACCAACCGATAAAGTTATTGTAATCAGAATAACACGGAACCCTTTCCCTGCCGAATCTTGACATACCGGCCCCACCTCAATCTTCAAGCTAATAAACAACAGCTCACCCTCTGCTTCCTCACAAAGGGTGGTATCCTGTCCGCACCGTGCGGTCCACCTACAAAATCCTCTCCAACCCTGCCGCGTTCCCTAGCCCGGCTGGCTGCCCTTCCTCCTCCACCCCTACTGTGCCAGCCGAGTTACTGTCAACTCCAGGCAGGCGGCAGGCGGCAGGCTGGTCCGCGGGGCCAGGGCGGCCGGCGGCACAGAGCCGGGACAAGCCCCCGGCGCCCCGACCTCCCGCAGCCGCCCCTCCCCCGCGCCTCCCCCAGCTCACCTAACGCCACCTCGCAGGCTTTGCGCAGCTGGGAGTGATGCGCCTTCTTCACTTCCTTGTCGGCCAAAATCTTCTCCAGGGCCCGGGTCAGAAACATGTTCTTCGTTTTCTTCCCTTCATACATGGACGCAGAGAAGGAGGCGGCGGCCGTCCGACCCGTAGCTCCCAGGGCTGGAGGAGGGGAGGAGAAGGCAGACAGGAGAGAAAGGACTGGAGGTGGAGGTGGGGGAGAGGAGGCGTGGAGGGCAGCGGCAGCACCAGGAAGGGGCGGGCGAGCGGGGCCGGGCGCCGCGCCGGCGAGCGCGTCGAGGTCCCCGGCGCCTCCGAAGGCCGCCCTCGAGAGCCGCGCCTGCCGGGCCTCCGCTTCCTTTGCCCGGGGGTCGCTTCCTGGTCGCCCCTCTCACTTGTCCCTCTGGCTCGCCGGCGAGTAGGGAGCCCGGTGCGGGCGACCGTCTTCTGGGGCTGAGGCTGCGGTGGGGACGACTCAGAGGCCCGGCGAGGGCAGGGCTGCTCCGGCTGCTGTGGGGATTAGCGCCCGCCACGGCCGCGGACTGGCTTCCATCACCGCCGACCTGCCCCGGCCGCCATGTTGGGAGGAAACGACGCGTCACGCAGCGGCCGAACGGCTGCAGAGGAGGAAGCGGCGGCGGCGGCGCCGCCTGCCCAGAGCTGCCGTGGCGCCCGGAGGCAGGGGGCGGAGGGCGGCGCGCGTGGCGGGGCCCGAGCCGCAGCGCTACGGCGGCCCGGCGGGGTCTCGCCGCCTCCTGCGTTCGTCTACGGGCGGCGTGGGGCGTGGCGGGCGCCCTGCGGCTCCGAAACTCGCCCGCGGTGCTCCTCCCGGCGGCCGGGCGGCCGAACCGGAGACCCCGGTCCTGCCTAGTCCAGCGGGTTTGATAGCAGTGCCTGCTGCTCTGCACCGGCGTCTCTGGCTTTTGGGAGATCCCGTCCGAGGGAGCGCAGTCTTCCTCAGAGAAACGACAGCGTCGCCCATTCTCAGTCCCGCCGGGTTCCACCTGCCGCGAGAGGACTCAAAATTCCGTTTCTATGCACACGAAATTGCTGTCCAGGACCGTGCCCTCCGACTGCCCCGGCGAGGATTCTCTGCTGGGAAAAGTAAGCTAAAAATCAGTTGACAAGCATTCAGAAATGTTTCTTCTCTCTGTAGGATAAGTACATACACTTTAGATTTCGGCTTTCTTCTCAACTGACTCTAAAGTGTAAGCTTCTAAATTTGTGTCATTTTTAGGAAAATGGATGCACTTTGAAGACGGAAATGTGGAGTGAAATCAGACACACAAGTTTAAATATTGCATGGTTTCTTTTACATAAGGAACTCAAGTATAAATAGAAGAGCAAAATAAAAAGTTATAAGGAACAGATCTTTGCAGATTTGAGGGGAAGAGATGGAAGAAGAGGAAAGGGGACATAAAAATTAAGATGTGTTATTTATATGTTATGTAAGTGTACAACCCTCCTGGTTGAATGTAGCGCAAATATGTACTAATAAAATTTTTTTTTTAAATTATGTTTTTAAAACTAGGCTTTGGAACACAAAACAGGTGTGTGCTTTTGACTGATCCCTTAAAGAACTCTTATTTCACAAGAAAAGGAAATCAGTTTTAGGTGAGAAAACTAAGTACCAACAAATTAACACATGTGATTATGTGCCTACTTTAGTACCAAGAATTCACATTTCTGCAGTATTGTCTTCTGAGCAAAGCAAAAATGAAAAATAATACTATAAAATATATGCAATTTACATGGTGATCTAGGCAGCCGTCCAAACCAAAGCTATGATATGTTAAGGTTTCAACAAACAAAAAGCCGTAGGAAAGAAAAATAGAAAATTTGAAGGTAACCCAGAATTAATATGGACATACAGGTTTTTTTAGACAAAGGGTTTTTTTTGAGACAGCTGGCCTTGAATTTACTATGTAGCTTAAACAATCCTGCCTCAGCTTCCTGAGTGGGAGGATTACAGGTGTGCATAAAACTTGATCATTCTGAGGAATAAATCTATAAATTCACTGATTCTGTATTAGACTATCTCTAGAGTCTTGGAAATTAAAGATTCACTATATTCCTATATCAAGCATGATTGTGATTTCTATGTACACTAATTACATGCTTTTTAAGAACAGACTCCATTTCTAATTTTCCTTTTTTTCTATAATTCTGTAATTAGGTGTTGTTGATGCATTATGAAAAATTGTCTGATCAGGCTAGCCAGATAGTTCAGTGGATTAAAGTGCCTGTTAGGCAGAGGCCGGGACCAGGTTCCATCCCTGGCATACCATGCTGTGCCCCACCTCTGGGTGGCTGAGACTGGGTGTGGTGGCATACGCCCGTAATCCCAGTACTTGGGAGGCTGAAAACAGGAGGATCACTAAGAGTCTGATCTGTGTGATGAGACCTTGTAGGCCCTGTATTAAATACATTTTTTAAAAAAATGTCTGATCACCAAGTCCATTACACTTCTTCTTCAGTATAACATTACATGAGCATTCACCATCCTCCCCTACAGTTGGATGTAGCCTTTAGTTTTAGTCCATTAAAACCAACAAACAACAACAAAAAAACTTCCCAAAGCTATGTCCCATGATCATTTCCCCTCTTTGTTCTGTGGCCATATGCTAATAATAACAGAAACACAACTTAGGAGTCTTTTAAGTCTGAATTACTTAAATCAGACCCCCCCCACACACACACCCATTAGGAATACCTGTTTTGGGTTTTACACAAAGTGAACTGTTTAGCCTTATTTTTAAATAATATAGATGGGGTTCCTTAATGAACAATCCTTGTGTTTGAGTATCTCACAGCCTACCTCTTGGCACATAGCACAACTTGTGTCATCTTTTCAGCTTGCTGGTTTACTAACTAGTTGTTTCCTTCATAAAAGCAGAGACTTTATTTGGCTAAGTGTACACACCTGTATACTTAGCATCTACTATATTGTTATCAAAGGAAAGGCCTTTGATATAAATTTGTGAAATAATTTGGACAAATGAAAGACACTGGGCTAAGTCAGACACAATACTTGCTCTTGTGAAGCTTACGGTATGTAGTAGGGAAAGCGATACAGTATTAAATCGCTTGTGCATATATAACTATAGGGATACAGTATTAAGTCACTAGTGAGTGTATAGCTACAGATAATGTAAAATATAGTTAAAGAGTGCTATGAGGCAGTCTGCTTTAGATTATGGATTTAGGGATGTCTTCCCAAAAGAAGTGACAGTTAAATTGAGACCTCAAGAAAGAAGAAAAACTAATGGAATGAAGTCAGCGTATGGAATAGAGGAAAGCTTGGTAAGTTCAGAAAACAAAAATAGTATACATATAAATCAAGATAACAGGAAAATGTTACCAGTAAGGATGAAGAGGGAGCTAGCAGCAGATTGTACAGAATCTTGTTGGCCCTGTTGGGAGGCTGAAAACAAAAATTTGAGATTTCATCCCAATAGCAATGAAACTCCATTGAAGATTTTTAAGAAAGGGATGTGATAAAATTGATGATTTATAAAAATACCCCAGTTTGAGCCCAGGCTGGGCCACATAGCAATTTATTAAGTCCCTGTGTTAAGAATGAACAATACACAAAAACATATACATATAGTACAGAAAAATGGAGAGGGAGCAAGAGATGGAGTGAGGATAGTGAGGAATTGATTAAAACAGGTTGGCTTAGTCTGGAGTCTAGGGCCTCAACATATGCTTGATTTCAGTAGACCAGTGGCAGCAATGGAGATGGAGCAACATGGCCAGATTTAAGATACTTTTGTGGAAGAATGCTTAGGTCTTTTGCATGTTGTGAAAGTGAGTGAGTATGGAAGGTTTCCAATGAAAACCAGTGAAAAGGTAGAAGTGGTGTTTGTAGAGATGGGCTAGACTTGAACAGGAGCAGATCTGAGAGTGAGGGTTATGGTTTTTTAATTTTAGAATTGTCTCCTTTGAGGTATGTCTGACCTACTCAGAAGGAATGGTTTTCACCCTTCTTTTATGAGAGGACTATTTTTCTATTCTTCTTAGGTTTGCTGGGTGGGGCCTACAAATTAGATTAACAAAACATGAACTAGTTTGTTTATTGCAAATACACATGAGAATGCTCGAATAACTCAAGGCATTGATTAAAACTTGGGCTTGTACAGCATCTTAATAAAGAGCAGTAAATCTGTATTGGTCTGCCTTTGGTTGCTGGGACAAATACTGGACAACTACAACTTTTAGGAGACAAGGTTTATTTTTGACTCATTATTTATGAGGTTTCAGTCCATGGCCAGCTGGCTCCAAAGCAGAACCATCATGGTGAAAGGACATAGCATAGAAAAGGTGCTCAACTCATGGCCCCCAGAAGCAGAATGTGGAGAATGAGCCAGAGACTCAGGGGCCAGAGACTAGTTAAAGCTCCCAAGGTCATGCCCTCCCCACTTCCTCCAGCTGGGCTCTACCTCCTCATAACCCACACAGCTATGAACTTATTAATGGGTTAACCCATTGTGGAGGTTTAGTGCCCTCACAATTCAATCATTCTTCCAGGAATGTCTTAGTCTATAGTCTGCTGACAATCAAGAATGACAGAGATATGCTGGGGAGATAGCTCAGTGGTTTAAGTGCCTGCCTGGCAAGTGCAAAGACCCAGGTTCGACCCCAGGTACTGCATGCTGTGCTGGCCCTGGGCATGCCATACAGGCCACAAAACTGGGAGTGGTGGCTCATGTTTATAATCCCAGTGCTGGGGAGGCTGAGATAGGAGGATTGCTAGAAGTCTGAACTGTGTAGTGAGACCCTGTATCCAATAAATGAATAAAGAAAAAAAAGGAATGACAAGCACAAAATCTTTAGAAAAGTGACAAGATAGGAAAGGATGGAATTCGTACTATAACTAATTTAGAAAATTAAATATAGGGGGAAACAGCAGAGGATAGAGTCTAATAGTCAGTTTTGCTGTGTAAATTCCTGTTTTAGTTAGTTTTTCCTGGGACAAAATACATGACACTGAAAGATAGATAGATTTATTGCAGCTCTCAGTTTGTAGAGATTTCAGTTCACAGTTGGGCTAGTTGCAAGGCAGGGCAGCAGGCAGAGAGGCATCACAGAGTAGAAATAGTTCATGGTGGGCAGAAGGAAAGAAGGCTGCAAAGTAGTAAATGACCTGAACCACAGCAGCCCTTTTTGTGTGCCTTATATTTTAGCCAGGCTACGTGCCCTCAGGATGGGTAGCATTCTCACCCAGAGTGGGTCACCCTTAATCCTAGCAGCTCACCAAAAATCAATCCTAAAACCACACACACTCTACATCCAGCCACCTCCCAAAACTTCCATGTATGAATGCATGAGACTGGAGGAACATGTAGACACAAGCTAACAATTCCTCTGGTAGAGTCTTTATGCTGATAAGGGTCTAGAGGACTTTTTTTTTTAGTGTATTTGGTACAGAGTCTCACCATGCAACTTGGACTCATAGTGATCCTCCTGTTTTCAACCTTCCTAGTGCTGGGATTACAGGCATGCACCACCATACCCGGTCTTGGTGGCCGGCTCAGCGTGCCTGGGGTCAGGGCTGATATGACATATAGCACCAGGAATCAAGCTCCAGTCCCTGCACTTGTCTGAGCAGGTGCTTAGTCTGCTGAGCTATCTTGCCAGTCCTCTTCTAATTAACTTTTATCCTTGCATAGCCAAAGGAGAGGTGACCTTGGAGAAATTATGTACTGATTTTAGGCATATAAGGGAGGGGTTGGGAGATATTCTTTTATATGCTTCTTAATTGCCTTTACTTCAAAATAATCAGTACACTAAAGTGGCATATTTTAAGGTGGCATATATAGCCACTCTATTTTTTAAAATCTAATTTCCTATAGTATTGATAATAGTTAACATTTATCCAAAGCTTATTATGAGGCAGGTACAACAACCAAATGAAGATTACATCCTTATCTCTGATCTATAGAGGAAGAAACTGAAACAAAGAATTTAGATAACTTTCCCATCTTGTACAATTATAAGAAGTAAAACCAGGAGTGTAACTTGGAAAATTGATAATTTGGGAACACAGAGCCCATGTTCTATATAACTTAGCTGTACTTATACCTGTGTACCAGTACAGTTCATCTCTCACTGTGACCTCCTTCCCACATGTGGACACTCACATTCAAGCCCATTCACCTCTTCAAATCTCCCTTTTATTTCCACATCATGTGTCCATGTAAACACCACATTTATCCACGCTTACATGCCTTTGCTCATCTTTTAGCAATCCAGGATATGCATGACTGCCTCTC